TGACTATTTTGGACCACTGACAGTAAGGAATGGAAGAAAGACTGAGAGAAGGTATGGCTGTTTGTTTACCTGCTTACAGATGAGGGCAGTGTAACTTGAAATGGCCTATTCATTATTCTCTGACTCCTTCATCAAGACGTTGATGCGTTTTATAGCACAAAGGGGGTCAGAAAAGATTATCGGTGATAACGGTTCTAATTTCGTCGGGGCAGAGATGGAATTGAAACGAGCCATAGATCGACTTTCACATTCCCGCATCAGCGCTGAACTAATGCGGTATAACGCCGAGTGGCAATTCACTCCACCGTTGGGCAGTCATAGAGGCGGAGTATGGGAACGTCTCATACGTTCCGCGAGACGGATACTAAAGTCGACAGTAAATGAGCAGGATATGAACGTCGAAGAACTAGTAACGTTTCTTATGGGAGCAGAGCGGGTAATGAATGGACGCCCTATTGTGCCCAATCAAACCAACTATTTCGACAAGCCGGGATTGACACCGGATGACTTGCTCATTCTCAACAACAGGGTACACGGAGTTGTGCCGGAAAGAATAACGGAGGAGTATGCGAAAAGTTGGCAGCAGATGAACTGCTTGACTCAAGTATTTTGGAAGCGCTGGGTGAAGGAGTACGTACCTCTGCTACAAGAGCGAACTAAGTGGCAGAAACCTCAAAGGAACTTCAGGAAGGGGGATGTAGTCCTGGTGCAATCAGGTGCGTTCTCTCGGGAACAGTGGCCCGTAGGCGTAGTTGATGAATGTGAAACATCAGGTTATGGTTTAGTTAGGACCGTAGTTGTGCGCACACGCGGCGGTAGGTTAAGGTGGGATCGGTCTGATAGAGGGTTGCGAGTGGGGGTAGTGGAGGGAGATGGGAACTGCGTGTTACGGCTATCTGCTTTCTGAGTTTGAGTCACGCGTGCCAATCCAGGAAAACGATCAAAGAATCCGAATTCTGGAATCACGGTACTAAACGGATTCTCCTCTGCAGATACCGTAAGGTTACAAGATAAGACGGTACGATTACCAGCCTAAGGATAAAGCGCAGATCACTACGCCTCAAAATCGATATCGTCACAACCAAACATATATCGACGGCGAGCAACCGCAAAAATCACAGCGTACGACCAAAGTCCGTAAGATTTAAAAATTAGTTCAGTAAAACAAAAAGGCTTAAGTTCATTTAGTCAAGGGGAATAAATATGGGGATTGGCTGTCACTTGGGGTTGGAAACGGGAGCACACTGTTGGCAAGCTCTCTTCAACAATACCTACATGCTCTCCTGCCCTCCGGATTGTCCTCTCCAACACAACTCCTGCACACTTTGCAATGCATTGTGGAATTTCGCTACGTGGGACTGGGTATTTCCTTCTCGGTGTGGACTACCGTTGCCCATGGCTTCCTCCTGAAGATGGTCAGTTCTTTATACAAATACTTGGGCAACCCCCTTGCTATCACTCCATGTATATCTGGCGGGTTAGTGATTTTAAAGCCTACTGAATGGGCCTCCAACGCATCCAGTCTGGTGAACATTCTGTGAAGACGCTGATCAAGGTTGTTCAAAGGAGCAGTGCGGCCCAAAAGGCTGCCGCGCCCACCAGATGCCGCACAGGACAACTACCATCCATTCTGGAGTTGGTCACTACCAACGAAAGACTTCAAGATTAGTTGTTAATCAACGCCACGCTGAGACATAGTGACCAGTGTACTGATCTTTGACATCATCTGCTACTCCGCCAGAGGTCCCGAAATTCAAACGTGGATTCGAAACTTCTGCCTTTCAGGCTCCCAGAAATGCGTAGCTTCCTTGAACAATTTAAAGTGAAGCCAGCTGGACCAAAGGGGTTATACCGAACCACAATCCAGAAAATGCATGAGGTTGCCGGTCTAAATGGATTCGGTATCTTTTAGAAAATGGTCCCAGCTGTTCCTAAAAAAGAAGACAAAAGGTTACACAGGAGGTGAGTTGGTTTCTCGTAATATGCGGAACCAGTGTGAATCTAAGTTTCGCCGAGGAAACACACGAAATTAAGCAACCATTCTAGACCTTTACAGGAAAAGAACGGTAATCCACAAATTACATCAGACAAGTCCACAGAAATGAGCCGACCGCCTTTTCCTTGAGGAACAGAAAACGGAAGCCTAGGATAGGCAAAACAGTTGTATCTGAAGTCTACAGAGAACACTATGCAGGTCTGTATCCTGCTCCAGTGGCATCGTCGCACCCAATCCTGTCAAGGCGTAACTATGAGCGGCCCCTTATCAACTTGGTCTTCATCTCTTGCAAGTTTATGGAAAGCTCTGTTTGGGGACCACTGCCGTTTCGGATGTACGCCGACGACCCTTCAGACGTTCTTTGAAGTCCATGTCTACATTTTGCGGACGACTTGAAATCCTGAAGTTCAAACACCACTGCCTTCCAAATGAATGTGGATGCTGCATGGCCGTGGTCGTTGGTCTGGCAGTCTTTTTTGAATGCCGAAAAATGCATCCACATTTCATTCGGAGGGGACTCAGCAACTCTTCCGCCGTGCCTGGGAGAATAGACTGGGAGACATAACGAGGATGCATGCCACAAATGGACTTAGGCATATGGCTCTCTTGAAATATATTCTTCTCACTGCATCACCAGAAATCGTCCCAAAAGGCATTCGCCGTTCTACGGATGATTTGACGCACCTTCTTCCGTATCATTCACATGGATTTCCAGACACTCTATGGGGCCCATGTAAGGCCGCCTCTTGAATATGCAAACCAAGTCATCTACTCGGGACACAAGAAGGATAAAGCCTTCACTGAGAGTTTCCAATGAGCTGCTACGAAAATGGTTGCCGGGTTTGAATCTACGGAAAATGGAGCACCTTCCGCATCGCTTGACCTCTTTTCCACGGGGTATCGTCGACTCCGAGGAAACGTTATACTTACTTTTGCCTTGTTTGAACAAGTTAATCCAATCTCGCGTTGAAATAGCATGGGTTCAGGCGACGAATAAAGACGCTTACTGAGAAGGAATTTCTTTAATCTTAGAGTTGGGCCACCAAGTCACCAGAAACAATCTTCTTACCTTGTGTTCCAATCAAACGTATTTTTTTGCGTGACACCTAACCAGAATATCCCCGTGGTTAACCCGCTGAACCCTAATGCACGCTGAATAACCGTTGATTCAAATGAGAATAACAACGCGTGAGCTTTCATTTTGCCAAATTTATTCAGTAATCTGGTTCCTCATGCTGCCAAACCGAATCCTCTTGGGTATTCAGCAGCCTGGTTGTGGTCTGAGAGCCAACGTGGTATTCTAAGACCGTATAATCTAATATTGATGCCGCAAAGAATTTCCAACAATCTCCGAAATCGGAGACTTTTAGCACTGGTTATACTTGCAACAAACGAATCTACCACGCAGACCACAAAGTTACACGTTATCTCCGAAAGCTTTGTGCTACCAACCGCTTGAACGGCCTTACAACACATTCGACTCGGATCGATCAGCACCATTGAGCGGCAAACCCTGGTGTGTATTCACGAAAATTATACTCGACTGTGATGAGGATGACTGATATTCTATTCATTGCTCTATTCATTATTCTCTTGTTTTAATATTCCCTATGCGGTACATATTCGCCAATTCGAATACATACGTGCTGGTTGTTACGCTTCGCTGAATTCTGGATTTCTAGTTTGTCTGGTTATACCGATATACGTACGAAACTTGATTCTCACATTTTTGAGTCGCGACTGGAACGATTCATCATGCCTGCCGAAAAGGAACCGTTAGATGTTAATTCAACTGCGCGTGACGTGGAGGATCATTTGGAACGGTTCGGTATATGGTGCCTCACAACATCCGATATGGATGATAAGAAACTCACTGCATATTCCCTACATTTCGTTGGCAAGACTGCGTATACGTTGATCAAAAATTTAGTATATCCTGAATCTCCCATTGATATTTCATACACTGCATTGAAAAAGAAAGTTCTTCAACACTTCAAACCGATTAACTTCGTAGCAGCCGAAAGAGCTTGGTTAAATATGCTGACCCGCTCTCAATCTCAGTCGGTTCGTGATTTCGTGTTACAGCCGCAGACACAGGCAGCCAAATGTCACTAAGATGCCTAAGTGGAAGACCAGCTGCGTGATAGACTCATTGCTGCCATTCAGCTGCCCGAATTACAGCAGAAGCTGCTACTCCGTCCGGATAAGAAATTTCAAACTATTCGGAAAATATGTGAGCAGTATGAAGATGCGAAGCATGTAGCAAAGACTGAGGAAGCAGTTTTGTCAAATTATTCTAAAAGAAATGATCCAAGGATGCAGACGAACAACCAAATCAAATCTCGAACAAATTCTCGTGCCCCAAATCCATCAACGCGTCACTTAACAGATCGTAACCCCAATCCGATGGTTCAAAAATTTAGAAAATGTGAATCTTGTTGACGAAACCACACCAGATATTCATGCCCCCACAGACGAGCGAAGTGTTTTATCTGCGGTAAAACAGGACTCATTCAACTTGTCTGTGAGCCCGAGAAAGTGTGTCACTTAACTTCTGACCCAAATACTGACGTGAAGGCATTACCTGAAGATAGTTCTACTCTTTCTTTATCTGTTTCGTCCCAAAATTCGTCCCGTTTTTTAAACATTGATATTCGCTTCTGGTCAAAAGCATGACTTTATTGTTGATACTGGTAGTGTTGAGTCCATTATTCCACAATCAGATCCAACTGCATTCTACCCCACAGTCGTGATAGTGCCTACGGATGTTAACATTCGCGGTATTACTGAACATTGCGTACCTCTAGTTGGTAGTTGCACGAGCCCTGTGAGGTTGCCCCAACGTACTTCTATCGATTGTAATTTTTTGGTTTCAACGTCGGGACCATCGAATGTCGGATTCAAAGTTCTGCGCTCAGTGCAAACCAGTATCACCTTACCGACTTCTGTGAATGAGAACGAAAGCAAACAGCCGATTCCTAAATGTCCTAAGCCCACAGGTGGCATGCAAATACCCAGGAGACAAATTGTTCCATTTGCCTTACACGAGCCTGTTCGTCAAGCGTTTAAACGAGTTCATGCCGACTACTGTGGTCCTTTTCTCGGTAAATACTATGCTTTAATTATTATTGACGCATATTCACGTTGGCCTGAAGTTTTTCTAACTACGTCTCCAAGTGCCGAATTCACTCAACAAGCATTGAGGGAAGTGTTCAACCATGAAGGTGTACCAACTGTTTTGGTCACTGACAACGGCACACACTTCACTGCAAAATTCCTCGAGGAATGGTTGAAGGGTCTTGGATGTCGACATTTGTTTATTGCTCCGCGACATCCCCAGTTAAGTCTTCACAGTGGCATCCGTGGCCAGTTACTTGTGAAGCATTTCAACGAGTTCATGCCGACTACTGTGGTCCTTTTCTCGGTAAATACTAAGCTTTAATTATTATTGACGCATATTCCCGTTGGCCTGAAGTTTTTCTAACTACGTCTCCAAGTGCCGAATTCACTCAACAAGCATTGAGGAAAGTGTTCAACCATGAAGGTGTACCAACTGTTTTGGTCACTGACAACGGCACACACTTCACTGCAAAATTCCTCGAGGAATGGTTGAAGGGTCTTGGATGTCGACATTTGTTTATTGCTCCGCGACATCCCCAGTTGAATGGACTTGCTGAGAATTTTGTCCGAACACTAAAGTCTGCCATTATTTCACTCTCTCCTACTAGTTTTGTGGAATTGGACCGTGGGATTGATAATTTTCTAACGCAATACAGGAACGCCGTCCATTCCGTTACTGGGAAGAGTCCCGCACTTCTATTTAAATCTCGTTCGTTGCGTACAAATCTTGACTGTGCCAAAACGGCTGATGTTACATTCTTCAAGGGTAATGATTTACGACCTGCTACAGGAATAGTACTTTCATCAAATGGCAAACGGATGGTCACAATTCTCGATTTGGATGATCTCTCTTGCCACCGGAGACACATTGACCAGATTGAGTTCAATAACACAGGTCAGTCTGCTAACTGCACTCCGCCTGTTTCAAATACTAATGAATCCTTTGTAGATGATCTTATGGTATCCGAACAAAACGTTGTATCTGAAGAACGCACTACCGTGAAGCGTCCGATATACGTACGAAACTTAATTCTCACGTCGACCTCACTTTCCAAGAGCACTTGTCGAATCCGTTAATAGTATGTCCAAACTCCAATTGTTTGATTGTCTTGGGACTATTTCCACTCGCATTATCATCTGGATCCACGCAATATCAGCAATGGGCCTGTCCTAATAAATTTGAACCCGGACTCTGTGGGATTGTGAGAACAAGAGTGCATGGTTGTTCTTAACTGAACCTACAATTCAGTGGCAATCTACCTAATTGTTGTCCGCCACCCTCAATCTTCTATTCGTTACTTAGTCTCACACTCAGTTGCTCAAGGTCACTCGATGTTCAAAAGGTCATCGACTTCAGTTCAAAACTGCCATTTTAATTTTGACACAGTTCATTACTGGTACTTCCAATACCTCTCAACCAACCTTTTCCAGGTCACAACCACTACCATACCACTCTCGCTTAGATTTCATCTTGTTGTCCCGGCCCACACAGTGACTGATTTATTGTGTCAGTCTTCCTGTGTTGAGCCATGCTCAGGTGCCACTTTAAGCGCTAGCAGCCGAGGAATATATGCTATTTATCCGATTCTACTACTGTGACAAGTCAGAACGCCCCACTACCCACCATTCGGAAACAATTATTTTCAGCCGCTTATTCTTGTGTGCGTATATGTCATTCCAGTTTAGTTCGCTGAAGTGTGTAGTTGTCTGGCTACCCAATAAGTTAGTTT